ATTTTCATTGGCCATTTTTGTTTTGTCCAAATTATCTGTAGTCAATATGTATAAGTGGTTGGAAAAAGCAATGTGTTAAATATTGTTACTCATGTTGAAAAAAGATAACATATAACTTTTAACTACAATAACTAAAACACCTCAAACAGTTCAGTTCCTGTAGCACCGACTAGTACACTGCATACATAAGATGATTTAAAAATGGCAAGATACTATTTACAAACTTTGACAACAACGCATTTCTGTTCCTTTCAAAACAGATGATAAGTCAGCATGATACCATTTGTATTAAATGGTTCCTAGATTTTTGAGACATACAATATACATGTACATGTAGATCTTTTGACTGAAGGTAAAATCTCTTTTGACTGAAGGTAAAATCTCTTTTGATTGAAGGTAAAATCAGAACATCTTGAATCCAAATCGGTATCATTGAAAGAGAAAATCAGGGTTACAGATACAGTACATATATCTCACCTTGCAGAAGCCCCCAACACCATCCTTGCAGCCATTTCCTTCATGTAGTCTGTCTTCACAACATATGCCCCATAATTCCTCAGTCCAACATGGCTGCACTTCCCATACAGTGACGCCACATCGGTAGAGGTTATGACGATGATCCCTCCATTCCGAGTGTTGCGAAAAGCCGACTCTAGAAAATGCACTGCACAGCCATATGGATCCAGATTTCTGAAATGTTTTTGATAGTAATAATAAAAGGAATCTTACACAGCGACCTATCAAAATAAATTTTAATTTCATTAACTCAATTATAACAAGAAAAGCAATATCAGACAATGAAACTGGTTTGGAGATGTGTTTGAAGAAAACGAGTAACATTTTAATTTACTCACACAAAATCAAAACTCCTTAGGTATAACAAAACATTGGCATCTGCTTGAAAAACCTCCACTTTACTAAGGTCTTCTTGCTTTTCCCCACTATCATTAACATCTGGTCCTCCATTCTGGTCATTCCCTGGTTTGATTTCTAAATTCTGGTGAAATTCAACTCCATTCAAGGCACAATTGTCTTTGATATTCTGTACTGCGTCAGCATTGGCGTCATTCATTGTGACCTTGACCTTGTGTCCGAGGTGTTTCTTCCACTGTAGTCCAGATATGCCTTTGAAAAATCAGTAAGGTATAAAATATGGATGGTAAGTGCACTAAATCAATGCACTGTCACTGATGTAATGTTAAAATTGAAAAAATACATATTTTAAGCCACCATCTTTTATGAAAGGAACTTTTTTCAGGCCCATAGCCAGCAATTTGAAAAGGGAGGGTTCTTTTTCTGAAAAAGTGGACCTTTTTCAATGAAATCTTTGTATACTTAGATCAAATTTTACCCAAAATGGACTTTTTCCTGACAAAAAAAGGTGATGGAGGATGGATCAACAAAGATAATTTGGAATACTGTCAGAAAATATATCTGGATCTGCTCCTGACACATGTGCATGTCTAAGTCTTAAAGTGTGTGTGCGCATGTGCGTGCATGTGCCCATATGTATATTGGTGAAGACTTCAAAAGCTTACCAGTAGCTGAAAATGCGTCTAGGCACTCTGGTGTCTTATCTTCTAACTCTGAGCAGAAGGCACTCAAAACAGACAAAGAAATTTCCCTGTGAAATAAAAAAAAAATATCTCCACTGATGCAATTTTTTAAAGGTAAAGTTTGACTTATAGAGAAAATTTGTTTTCATTGATGTAATTTTAAAGGTTTAAAGTTTTAAAAGTTTGCAGTTTTAAAGACTTACACAGAAGATTTGATTGAATGAATATTTCTTGGCTAAAAGAAAATTATTATTGGCTCCTAAAAAAATATGTATCATTATGTTTGCACTGACAAAATGAACAAAAAATCACCTGCATATGGTCATGCGTGGGTTGTAGAAAGTGTCAGTCTTCTCTGGAGTGGCGTGATTTTTATTCACAGCAATTTTTACTCCATTTTCTTCAAATATTTGTGACATGACTGCTCGCTGTTCTCTCTACAATGATGAAAGAATTTATTTAAAAAGTTTGCTTAATCCTTAACAGTAAGTCCACAAATTAGTGAAATTTCTCCTCCTATAGATGCATAAGACTAGTGTAGTTCATTAGTTTCATTTTTCATATTTTATACATGTGCACTTAGATGCTTGATTCATGATCATCTACAAGTACATGATTATATATATATAAATATTGACACTAAATACCTGTATGCATGTATTTTACCTTATACTTGTCATCAGCATATGCCACTAATTTTGATGAAATTTTCAGGATAGGCCAGATATGATACTGACTGATTTGGTGATAATATCCTTTAACCAATTTATTTATTAATTAACTGTTTACTATTAGACAGCTTTTTGTCTTGATGGAGGTCTGCATGCACCTCTGACTGCTTTTCTTGTTTAAATTTAAATATATCAATACGTAATTAACCATAATTTGCCAGGGCTAAAGAACAAAATTTCCCTACTCGCAAGTGACTGCCTGATCATCTGATGCATTCACAATACGTACAACGCGCTTGGAATTGAGTATGATCCTTCCAACAAGCCCTTAGAGAAAGAAATGCGAAAAGAAACTCCGAAAACTAGAATCTACCACATTTCCAACAACTCGAAGGAAAGCGTAAGTTGTACCGATCGATTCGAGCCGCTGACTGCCATGTGCACAAGTTTACTTCCTTTGGCACATGCGTGCTGTTGGTTTGCGTTGCGGCGTCTATCAAACCCGCTTCGGGTCCGTGATAAGCGAAGGCCAAGTTCACGGTTTCAAATCATTTTCTTTTTTAAATGTCCAAAATGTAATCGTTTTACAAGGGACAGATCCAGAATTTCTTGTTCTTGAAGGGGGTTGTTTTTATTGAAAGTCTTGCCCGAAAACTGAATTTCTCTCTGAGCTGGCTCAGTCGAATGGAACTGGGTCATATCATGCAGTTATTAGTTAGGGCCTATGTACCGGCAGCAAGCATATAACGCATAGAAAAACCTGCTTAAAAGGGCCAAAAAGGTCATTTTCAAGGTCTGTTTTCAGTATCAAATTTAGTAGTAACCCCCTATATTTTTATACCATATAAAAGGGCAGGTGTTGCTCTTTCAAATCATATAGAACAAAGCTAGATTTGACATTAAAAAACGTAGTCTAATATTATTACACCTTATTTCATTTCCACAAAGATCCATGTTTGAGGTTTTTTAAAAAAAGCAATAACAGTGGGGAGGGGGGTTAGGGGTGTGTCAGGGGGGTCATGACCCTCCCCCTTCGATTTCCGAAAAAAAATCACACCAAAAGTCCCCTTTTCAATGTAAAATGTGACATCAGCGGGCCCCGAATCCCAAGCCAAAGGGGGGGGGGGTGGGGTGGGGGTCGGTTTCGATCCGCGCCCCCCCCCCCGACCCCCAACCCCCCTTTCAAATAATCCTGGATCTGGCCCTGAATAACGTAGGCCTGTGTGACCCAAAAAAATGCACGCTTGGTCTTATTAAATAAAAGTTGAATTTGAAAAAACACGGATTCCGAAATTAATGAGAAGATCAGAGAGAGAGAGAGAGAGAGAGAGAGAGAGAGAGAGAGAGAGAGAGATGTAAATCAGTGAACATTAAAATTTTGTTTATAATTTCTTGTTTACCTTAATAAAATCGTAATGTGCATTTGCATCGGTTTCGGAAGTTTTACGCCGCGGTTATGGCCTTTTTAATGTTAAAAATTATCAAAGAGAGTAGAGATATGAGTTTTACGTCTCATAACTAAAAATATATGTCAGAATAATTCTTGTTATTTTTAATGATTAATGTTTTTATTGTGAAATATAGATCTCATACGAAGAGCTATTATCCCTTTAATTTAAAAAATGCTCAATTCGAATAGTTTCGTCAACACATTGAATTTAAAAAATGCTTGTTTTTCTTTGGGTGGGGAATCAATAGAAACAAACTCCCCTCTAGGAAATCCTGGATCCGCCCTTATACATAATGTCCCCTTTCACTAACATCAGGAGGTGTTGGGTTCTTACATCTACAGCGGGATTTATTTATGCAAAGAGATCTATTTTAGGGACTTATCCCACTCAGTTAAGTCTTGGTATCGGCTCGAGTTATTTTCGGAGAAAAAAGGTACGCGACACCGCAGCTTTGTTTCCAAGACCAAAAATCAATTCATTACCTGGCCATTGCCTGGTTTTATGGAAGTAATGGGCGTGACAGAAATCGCAAAATTTGCAATTAAATTTTAGTGAGAAAAGGGACAATTGAAGAGAAGAGAATTTCGACTGATAATTAAACGAGCCGCGTGTATATGCATTAATTTTGAAGTCTGGTGATTATTTTGCCATCTGTTCATGTCTTTCGTTTTATCAACAAATAAAAAAAATTAAAGATTATAATTTTTATTCAACTATAATGTACAATCTTAACAGTAGCATTCAATTTCAAAAAACACTTAGTATTACTTAAAATTAAGATTTTCCATTCCTGTTTTTATCATCTAACATCAGAATGCAAACAGTCTGATAATGCTTGTCCTGTGGTCGGAAGCTGGTGCCCGATGCTCGAGGGCCGTGGGGAAAAACCCGTCTAAACCCTTCGTGGGGTAATGCCGGGAAAGTGCCCACGCCCGGAGACTTCAGTCTTTTATAACATGATAGTTTCTTTATCGACACAGCGCCTTACAGTTGGAAGAATATCGTCCAGTTTTAGACAGCATGTTGCAACTGAATAAACTTCTCTCGTGATTACAAACTATCCTCTATATACACTATACTTGTGCACGTAAAGAAGCATAAGAATTTACCAAAGTAATTCCTACAGAAAGAGACACTGAAGCGAATTAAGACATTTACTACAGTCTTAACATAATTAAACCGAGACTAATTTTAATTTTATCTAAGGGGATGAAGTCATATAAATCGACTCTCTCCTTTTACAAGTGAAAGCATCCATCAAAATTTGATTAAATTTCTTTTTTTGTATAAAATACATACAAAGATAATATGATTATAACTCGGGCACCTAAACTAAACTTTAACATTGCAACTATGATGCAAGTAAAGAATATAGCAAGCTTGCTTCGAAATATTTCAGATCTCACATTACACTGTATGGCCGTCCATGTAAATTTCAATATGAATTTTTTGATCCGGAGAAAAAAGTGCATATGTGATGAATTGGATATGTTTGTCAACTATAACACTCGAGAAAATCATAATATTAGTAATATTAGTAATGTGCGATCCTCAATCTTGAAAGCTGACTGTGTGCACCCAGCCATCCCTCGCGAGGAGCAGACTGTGCAAACAATATAATGAAATATTTTCTGAAGCATGAAATGTTTCATTACAGATTTTGCACAGGCTATCAATGTAAAACCTCTTCATGTAAAAGCATTTACACCAAGTCAGATTTTACACAGTTGTGAGATATGGTTAGTGTGCGGGTTATGATCTTCTCAAACGCTATACTGACGAACAAATCCACATCATCAAAAGCACAATTTTGAAAAATGACTACATCACTAAGATTGAAATAAAACAAAGACGACCATAAATGTTGTTTTTGTGAGTAAAAAGCTATCTGCATTTAGAATGTGGATAAAACATCTTGATTTAATTTTTTTAAAATTATTATAATAACTGTAGAGGCTGACTTAAAATTTTCACAGAACCACAATTCATCTTAATCAATTTATCATTTATGGAATGATCATTCTGAACCTCAGTTTTCCCTTTAGCTATTGAAATAAAATGGCTCACTGCCATAAGTGAAAAAAGTTTCTAAATGCAATTTCATCCCATTCATATCTGTGACCCATGAACCACAAAAATTCTCAATAACCAAAAGACTTGGGTACATAACTAGATTGTACCAGTATTCCTCTTACATTCAGGATATCGCTCTTCACTACCATTCCACATTCTCTAATTGTTTGCAGAACAATCTCCGTCCTTAAAAACCCAAGACTGCTAGGACGTCCGACCATCAATGAAAGTGGCTACAGGGGCTCGTTGCTGGCGCCATTTAAGTGTTTTACATCTTGAACACTTGGTCTAGGATTGATTGTACAGTGTATCTGCGTTCGGGCATTATTTCTAGAAAACTCCCTTTCGTAGCCTACAAATGAAATGCAACATGTTCACACAAAAGTAAAAAAAAAAAAAAAAAAATGGAAATCTTGCAGTAACTGCAACAAAGAACATATATGTAACTGGTATTTAAACACCTTTAAGAAGCATTTTGTTGTTTCATAAGGCTTTGGTTCTCAACTTCTTCAGACTCCATGTAATCCAGTGGGGTGTTGCAAAAATTTTTGGAGATACGAAAGTTGAGCAGTAGAGGTAAAGAACACAGGAAGAAATAGGAAAGGATAAATGAAAGGAAAAAATACATTCGAGTCGAAAAAAAACAATCTACACAGAAAAGCTGGTCTACTTCTACAACACAACACGAGAAAACCACACTACGGATTTGGAGAGTGCTAAGATACTACTAAAAGAAAGTGACTGAAGAATAAGAGGAATAAAAGGAAGCCTAGATAGATAGATGCCAATCTAGTATTTTAGACCATTGACACAACGCCACCGGTGTCACATCGAGTCTGTTGAAGATTTGAATGTTGGTCGGTAGCATTTCAACATTTTTTTTTTTTTGCATGATTGGGGTTTTTCGAAGTTTATGGCAAATTAAAAGAGCTTTTGACCTGTAAAATGTATGTACCAAGAATTTCCTGATGAAGTTTTAAATAGAAAACAAATGTCTACACTTACAATGACTACACAAGTCTTTCTAAACTCTCTTGGCAGGACTCGCTGGTCACTTCCCCCGATGCAGCCACCTCGTAGACGGATCATGGCAGGAATCGCTGGACACTTCCCCTGATGCAGCCACCTCGTAGACGGACCATGGCAGAACGCTCTGGATGCTTCCCACGATGCAGGCACCTCGTAGACAGACGATGGCAGGCCTCCTTGGACTCCACTGATGCAGCCACCGCGTAGACAGACCATGGCAGGACTCGCTGGACGTTCTCCCCAATGCAACCACCTTGAGTTCTGTAAACAAAGTAAAATGGATTAATGAGTTTTCTATACTTTCCCCCCTCCCAATGACAATACCTTTAAGGATTCTCCATCTCAGTGAAACACCGTATGCCTTAGATGCTTCCCCCGCTGAAGCCACCTCATAGACAGACCATGAAAGGACTCACAGGATGCTTACCCCGATGCAGCCATCTAGCAGACAGACCATGG